CCAGCCCTGATCTTGCAGTATGCTATACAAATGTCTCTGGAGATGGAGTTCTTGACCCCAGCTTTTGGTCATCTCCAGAACCAATTCTGCACAGGCTGAGTTGCAAGACCAGATCCTACATATTCTACAGCATTTTGACTGCTGTTCCTATTTTTGCCCTGTTTTCATGTGTTTAGAATTGGGGATAAGGATGAGAGGAAATATCGTCCCTCTTCTTTTTTATCTGGGCAAATTATTGAATTGCTTTATTTATGTATTAGACTCATAGCTTATGAGTCCCAGCGTGTTTTGTTGGGACCTTGAAGAGTGTAGAGCTGGCTGATAGCTTACACGGTGCTTTTATAAACTGCTTACATTTATACAGAATTAGAGACTGAAGAAACTGCCACCATAAGAAAGCTTTACAAATCCTCTTAATGCAAAATGGTGATTTGCTGAATGAGCTATTTTTGTTAGTTTGGTTACCATGGATGCTCAATAGTTGTATTTATTTACTTTTTGCTTGTCGTGTTCAAGATGAGAGAAAAATACAGATCTAATCCAATGAACAATAGAAGCACCAAGCAGAAGCAGTGTAAACAGTATTTTGCAGAGGCTTCACACATTCAAGAAAAGAAAGTCCTATTTTACATTGTTTCCCAAATGTGTGCACTGCTATGGTCCAACTTTTGCTACCATAGTTTGAAGCCTATCAAGTCAAGCATATTTCTGCTCCTTTTGGAGCTATTAAAGAGCAGCAAAGACTTCTCCGTTGGCACTCTTGGAGCACCACCTAATGGATGAGTTGGGAAAGGTCCTTTTCCCACAAGCTTCTGACCAGCCTGAAATTCTTGTTATTTATCAAGTACTTACCTGCTCATCAACACCATTGCAAAGTTCTACCCAGTTATGCCAAATGGCAGATAAATAAAACAGTTGGCTAAGGAGAGATGCCATTCTGTGGGTGATACCAGCATGTTTTTCACGTGTACAGGCAACATGAACATTCTTGGAAAATTTGGATAGATTTCAGACTACATTTGCAATTTTCTTCTAAGATAAGTTTATGTTTGAGGTTGTTAAAGAAAAGAAAAATTGTCATATTTCTTACTTTCCAACAATCTCCACAAGTATTTGAAGGACCTTCCAGTCAGCTTCATAACTGACTTGTTATTCAGTGTCTCCGTAACAGAGAACTGAACAACACACTAGTAACTTCCCAAAAGATAAGACAGGCAGCAAAGAGGGCTTGAAGCCCTGCAGATCTGTGCAGGAATGACTTTCAGCCATTTCTTACTGCCCTGTTTTGTGTCTTTGTATGAATGGTAGTTGCAACTCAGTTATCTTCTATTTTTGTTTAGTTTTTTTCTGCTGCTTCCGTTGAAGAAGGGAGTAGAGAAGAAATGAAGGCAGAAATAAAAAAAGAAGGCACATAGAAGGCATTAGTAGATGTTGAGTTTCCCAGAGCAAGGATCTCAGCTAGTTCTCTAGGGCACACTGTCCTCTTAACCCTCTGTGGTGTCTCCTCGCATGGGAGATGTTCTCCCAGCTGAAGCCTTTCAACTTCTTGGCCAACATGTCCATCTGTTTCCATCAGCAGCTCTCTGAAATGCCCACAGATTTTTCGCTTTTCTTGCTGTGAGAAGGAAAGTTTGTCTTTCCATTGGCAGCTTTCCTGCTGATCAGCTGAGTAATGCTCTCCACAGGCCTGCTGTCTTGTTTGGAAAGAGGTCCTTCCCAGCCAGGTCTGAGTTCCCAGCCAGCTGCAGGACCTGCATGTTCCTGGCAGTGTTGGCTCTTTGCTGGCCAACAGTAACACCTACACCTCTTCTCCATATGCAGCCTGCTAGTCCCCAAACATCCTCTGTTTGCAGTCTGACAAAGAGGGATTTTACCTTTACTTACAGTCCTTGTTACTGTACACAGGTCATCTCTTGTCCTCTTGCTCCTTTCATTTTGCCCATTTAATAAGGGGCTGGGCTTTTCTGAGTGTGATGAAAGCTCCCCATTGACTTCCAACAGAAAACATTATCAAGTGTTATCTGATATTTCTACAAGGGGAAATTTTTGGACAGCATCCTTCCAAAACATATGACATCTGCCTTATCTAGTAGCAAGCTGTGCCTGGTCTCATGATTTCCTAACCTCCTCTCTTGAAGGACAGCAACTTTTATCTGTGAAGGAAAGGCAGCCAGAAAAGTGAATAAAAATGCAATATAAAGATGTGTGGCTTAGGAAATCTCTGATCCAAAGATCATTGAAGGCTTGAAGGTTATTTGAAGGGAAAGTACTATGCTATGCTTTTGCTTCTCTGATTCCCTTCTCTGAGCAGCCCATTGCCTACTAGCAGAAGAGGATGGATCATGGCTCGAGGCCTAGGTCAGCAGTTCCCTGGCCATGCAGTACTCACTCTTAGTACTGCTGGAGCCTTTCTCATTTCAAATTGCAGAAAGTGGGAATTTGGGTGAAAATTTGCTAGGAGTCACGTGGGTTTCTCTTTTCAGTCTGCTAAGTTACAGTGAAGAAAGACAAGGTGTTAGTGGCCGGGTGATCTGTGTGCTCAGGGGACTTTGAGTACTCAGCTGGTGGACTGAATATTTCCTCTTACTCTTTGGAAGTTCTCCTTACTGACACAGGACCTCAACTTGCTATTCATATATATAGCACATGGACACTTAAAATAAAAAATAACATAAAATAAAAGAGGTGACAGGTGAAAAGTATAAAACAGTGGCTATTTGGAAATTATTGGGTATTTCATAATCTGTGGTTGTTTGCTGATCACGCAGAGATATTTCTTTGCAAACATTCAGATGTCCTTAAACAAAACACATGTTGATAGTGGGTATTTTTTGTTTGTTTTCTGATTGATGCATCTCACAAGATGTGATGATATTCCTTTGGTAGTGTACATAAGGACATCATTATGAGACAAAGAACTATTATACAAGTTATACAAATGACTTGAGATTTCTTAACTTCATTTTACAGCATTCTTTAAATCTTGCAGTAAGGTTTCTCACCGAGCTCCTTGAAAGGACTGATTTCTTTCTGAAGCTTTGGAGAAATGAGAACAAGGTGGACATGATGTAGATAGGATTTTAATTTATTTGCTTGCTTGTTTTTGGTTTTCCACTGATGGATGTTATTAAAGACCTCAGCAATGGTCAAACCTTCTTTAACTGAATAGGATTTTTGCTTGGAGAGCCAAGCTTTTGCCCTGTAGTAGTCACTCAAAGTTTGTTTAAGTCTGTTCTTGTAAATATACAAACATGCAATAAAGGCACCACAACTGTCCCACCATTTAAAATATGATTATTAGTTCAATTTCCACGGAGTTATGGCTAGAAGCAGTTTGATCCAGCATGGGATTATGTTACAACTTCTTCATTCCACAGTGGTATCAGAATCCAAACTGCGCCTCTATTTGGTTTATTAATTTGTTTTTCTGAACATTTGCAGAGCTGTAATAGCCTAGTTTTGCCAAAATCAGACCTCAGTTTGGCAGGGTTTTCTTTTATCAATTCCAGTTGTTCTTCCACAATCCTTTGAGGATTTTCTTTTTCATGTAGTCAATACTCTGTGTACTTCATCATGCACTCAATTAGAGGACACGTCAAATACATCTGTATTTAAACATGAACTATATTACTTCTTTCTTATTTTTGGCCCAGGCTAGGTTTTGCTCTGCCTTAAGTATTTTGGAATGACAAATGCTTATAGTACAGTATAGCATCTAAAGTGTAGTGGTTTGTTATGATTACAGGGTTGTCATGGTAATGTAATTTTTGAATTATATTACCATGACATGGTAAGGATGAAAAGCCAAGGTTCACATATGTAGTTCTTACAAATCCTGGAAGGTCTGGGATGGGTCAATTAGTCCTACATTTTATAGTATCCCACATACACTAAGCTTTCTGAAATCTTAGCAGTGCACAGTATTAAGTAGAATTAGCTGGGAATTCTTAAGACTCAACTATTTTAAAAAAAAAAAAAAATTTAGTTGTTAAATTTTAAAATATATTTCTCTTCCTTGTTCAAGGTAATTGTCCTTGGCACTGCACCTCATTTGAGTTGGCTCAGCCATGTCAACTCACCACCCATGTAATGTGTGGTTTACAGAGAGAACAGTGTCCCACAGGGGGAACTTCCATGTGCTACCTTCAGGATGATCTGCAGATATGGAATGGCATAAAAAAAATGCACTTTAAAAGACAGACACTGGGAAAGCCCATTTCTTCATAGTAATGATTCAACTACAGCTGAAGAAATTACACCTAGCTTTTGTGCTTACAGAATATCTGATGGTGTTCAAAGGTCTGACAAAACAGGCCTAACAGCTCAGTTTTGTGACAAAAGTGGCTAATGGACCAGTGCTGGGTGCTGGCCCTCTGCTGTTGCTGCCATTTACATCCCTTGCCCATCAGGCATTATCCTTCCCCACACTGGGTTAATATCTGCTGGCCAAGAGCTGCTGCAATTCCAAGAGGAATGCAGGTTCCGTTAGAAGCTATATATCCAAACTGGAAGCTATGGTGCGAGCTGGTGCCAGGGTGATGTAGAAATAAGAAGACACTGCACAATACAGTGTCAATTTTGCCATTGACACACCTATCCTTTATTTTTTCTTCCATTATATATTTTTATTTTTATTTTGTTGTGTCATAGACCTCATTAAATGTGGAAATCACACTTAATCTAACCACGAATTTTAGCTGTTTTCTTGCTTTCTCAACCCAGCAAAATTTGTTTTTGAAGTGTAATTGCCTCATTATTAAGAACAGACTTAATGGAAATGGGATGTTTCGTCAAGTGCCTGAACAAGCTGGGGAAAAAAACGGCCCAAGCTTCTAATAACTAACTATTGGTGTCTTTTTTTCCTGTGCGTGTGCAGTCTACGAGTCTGATAGAGATTGGGAACCCTTCACAAAGTCTGGAGAACGTGTGTCGCTGGGCCTACCTGCAGCAGAAGCCTGACACTGGGCATGCAGAGTATCACGACCATGCTATCTTTCTCACCAGGCAGGACTTTGGTCCCTCTGGCATGCAAGGTAAGAGGTATATCAGGTTTTGGTTTGCATTTGTGCTTATCACTTAGCAAGGCTAGTCGTGCAAAGTTTAATGGCATAGCTTCTGCTTGGTTTTGGTCAATGTTTTCTTTCCCCAAGAGCTGAAGCCAAGAACATGGGATCTGGATGTAAACAGTCCTGAAAATGCCTAAAGAGTAAAGAATGGATTTTGTGTTTAAAAAGTCTCCAAAGCTGTTGTCAGGTTCCAGCAAGATTGCCAAGAAATAATGTTGCAGAGAGATCTGGAACAGCAGGGCCAAGTGCTGTCCACTCTTTTCCTCTTTTCAGGGCTCTGCCTCCTGTAAAATGAGGTTTGGTTCACTTGAAGGGATGAATCTTACAGCTTTCCCATTCCTTTTGGGTTGGCCAGATCTGCTGCCAGCAAAGGGCTGGGGCTTTGCTCATGCATTCCCTGAGGGCTGGGGCTGCACCGAGCTCCTCATGAGATGTAACGAGGCAGCATGTGGTGTCCTTTCCCCTTGTTGCATGATGCACTAAGAGAAGGTAATTGCAGGATAGTCCTAGAGGTGCCAACGGCTTTCTTGGTGAGCCAGGAATGTAGTTTTAAATTGTTCAATAGGCTGTTTTCACCGTGTTCAATGTCATGTTTTCGTAGAGGAGGGAGCACATTATTAAATGTTCAAGGACAGGGGGCTCTTAAGAGGACTACTTCAACTCTAGTGTCACAGCACAGAAGACATGTTTGTCCCAGTGCTTCTCACCACGCTGCCTTCCCATCCTTGTTCATTTTCTGCAACACTTGGTATATCTCCCAGGCTACGCTCCAGTCACTGGAATGTGTCATCCTGTTCGAAGCTGCACTCTCAACCATGAAGATGGTTTTTCATCTGCATTTGTGGTGGCTCATGAAACTGGACATGTGTGAGTAAAACTGTGGACATGCTATGTCCTACCTTAAAGCATCTTCGGTACTGACAAATACCAGTGACCTTAGAAAGATGCCATTTATGTTAGGAAACAATATTAAGGGTTAGCTCTGGCTTCAAGTCTCAACTCTCTCAAAGCTTTCTTCATGATCTTAAGTAAGCTTTATATTTTGGTATTTTCAAGTGGAAAATGGAACTAATACCAAAATATCTTCCAGGGCTGCTGTGAGAGTAGGTTGAATGATGTATTACAGTCTTCTAGTGGAAATGTAAAGTACTTATAATCATGAAATATGAATTCATTGAGTCAGTGGGATACACGAATCTTGAAAACAATCCATGTTAAATAAGCACATCATCTGTATGCATTATTTCTGGGAAAGGATACAATGCTGTATAGAAAGGAGGTGCCAAGCACTGAGGTTACAACTGTTTTATGTATTTCATATGAAAATGCAATCATTTTACTTATTGATGTGATTAGAACCAATGCCTGGGCAGCAGTCATCAGAGCTTTGGTCTGTCCCAGAGTCTTTTAGATTCCCTGTTTGCAAAGAACACCCACTGATTTCCCATTTTCTCTTTGGTGGAACAACAGTTTCCAGAAGGCTTTTTCTGAACAGTTTCAGTCTATTCTGTTTTCCCTAAGAAAGCCTGCAAGCCCTTTTCCCTTTGTTGTATCAGAATTAAGGGCTTTAGACAAATAATTGCCAAAGTTTATTGAAATCACTGGAAATGTATCTTAATTAGACAGGGATGTACGATTGATACCCAGATGGTATTTGATCCCAGAGTTTTTGAATTATGTTTCAAAAGAATATACAGGGAGCTTTAAAAGAGATACCACTGAAGAATGTTTGTAATCCCTCAAATCACATTCAGCCCCAATCTGTTAATTTGGTCTAAATTATGAACAAATATCACCCTCGTTAGTCAAATAGTGCTCATAAAAAAATTACAAAACTGTAAGAAAGAAAAGAAGAAAACATATAATAAAGCCAAAAAGAAATTAAAAAATATCTGTAACTTGGTGTCATTTTCCACAAAGCACACAACACTTTCCAGGCTGTTTCACATTTAAACAATGTGAGATTGCTACTGGACAATATCAGCAGCTAGTCTAAATGAGCTTTCAGCATGGCATCTCTTTTTTTTCCATGCAAAGATTACCTAAAATTAAGCCAAAGTGTGATTTATTTTTTTTTTTAAGAGTTAAGTAAACTCCAGAATAGCTCCAAATTAGAATGTGAATAAATTTCTGTTAATGCTCCTCAAGGGTGGACTAGCCGTAGCAATTCACAAACGTGGATGTGCACAGAAGCCCAAAGGAGGCATTTTTAGTCTGTTTTGAAAGTGGATTAAGCTCATCACATGAAAGTCCTCTCAAGGGTCAATGCTTCTGCAGGGTAGTTCTTCAGCTTCCCTCTCACCCCATCTCATTTCTCATGACTTCACTCACGTGGCCAAGGGTGACGGGATTTAGGAACCTCCTTGCCACCCACCACTGGTGCCATTGGATGTGGAAGCCCTTGGGCACTCGGAGTTCCCCTGTGATGTAACCGTGCTGGCTCTCTCCTCTGCGGGGCAGTTTAGGCATGGAGCACGACGGCCAAGGGAACAGATGTGGGGACGAAGTCCGCCTGGGGAGCATCATGGCCCCCCTCGTCCAAGCCGCCTTCCATCGCTTCCACTGGTCTCGCTGCAGCCAGCAGGAGCTGACCCGCTATCTCCAGTGAGTAGCTGTTAAGCAGCCTCTCCCCCTTCATTAGGGAGCACCTAAGAACAATTCTGCATCTAGCATTTGTGCTGTGTCCTTTTGTTGGGGATTCAGATGGAGTTGAATAAAGCAGTTGAAGATTCTGTTGGGAATGAGATGTTCTCCCACCCATTACAAATAATAACGCAACTTCTCTGTTAGTTTGATTTTGATCCATATTAAATTGTTCTCATTTCGTTTATATCTGTTCATTTTCTGGACAGTGATAGTCTATGTGCTGTCCTCCCAGGGGTTATGAGAAGACACTGTTATGAATCTCACTGCTAACTGTCCTCCCTCCCTAATGTAACCTCTAACTGGAGGAGTGCCTATGCTGCCCAGCAGCATCATGTCTATCTTCTAGATATCAGATTGAGCTTTCAGGGCCATTGGCTGCTTAGGATACCTGTCAATGATAAGATAGTGCTGCCTGAAGAGGAAATTCTGCCCTTTAAGTGTTCAGAGCTTTTCTTGTCTTTAATAGATACCTAAAGAAAGAGCGTGTTCTAGAATTAGTTCTGTTGTTTTCCTTTAAGTACCCTAAATCCGAAAGCTTTTTAAATAGCTTCAGCCATGCCACTTGTATTCCCTTTGAACCTGACACTTTGGGCACTAGACCTGCCCTGGCATTCCCTAACAAACTCTGATATCAGTTTATAAGCATGTTTTTGCTCCTTATAAGAAAAAAAAAATCTTACTCTTATTATGTGCAAATTGTATGGAAAAATACAGGGAAACACATAGGAAATCTAGCAGAAACTGAAAATGTGTAGGGGAAAATGCAGCAAAACAGACGAAGTAAACATGGCTCAGTTTTTTAGTCCATATTTTTATTACCTTAGATATCATAGGTATGGCTCTAAGGAATAAAGATATTGTGAAGGAAGTGTGATTGTTTCAGTTAGCAGGATCCTTTAGAGCTTTAGCCATTAAATAAAAATCATCTGGCCTAGAAGGCTGATTGACATTCTTCTAAATACAGCTATTTTTAAGTATCTTATAACAAAGCAGAACGATGGTTTGCTTTGAAGTAAATCTAACCTCAAAATTCTGCTTTCAGCTATTGGTATCTTCAAGGCAACCTGACTGATGGCCAGAATGGACTCGTGGGTGGTGTCCTCATGCCTGTTAATAACTCTGAGACATTTCAGAGATATTGTTGACCATGTTGGTCTTGTGAATTAACCAATGATTGTGCCATGTTCCCCATTCAGTGATATTAGCATCACTGCTCTGGCTTCCACACGACTCGGCTGTGACTCTGGAACATTACAGGCTGTATTCACTAATTAGGACGACAAGAGAAACTCCCATATTCATTACACAGAAGGGAAACTTAGTTCAAACTACAGATGGAACTGTGAGCTATCAGGAGAAACAGAGAAGAAGCTTGAGCATTTGATGCAGGCAGGAAAGGACACGTTTGTAAATGAGCCCCTGCTCCTCAGCAAGGACGCAGGAAAACTGCAAGCTTGGTGGTAATCTTGGATGGTTACCCTGGCCTCTGCTTCTAAAACCTCACTTGAAAGACAGTTGTAGGCAGCGAGAAAATCCACAAATGGAAAATTAATTAAACTTTCTTTTCTTCTTGGTCTCATGTGGATTCTCCCTTTGATTCCTTTCACATAAGAAGCCTGGAGACTGATAGGAATTTACCTGCAAGCTAAATGGAAATTACAATGGAAGGGCTTCAGAAAAAATATATATAGAATCCATTAAAGGTGGATACGACAGATAAAGTTAATGTGAGTGTAACTGCAATATTAGTTGCTCTTCACAGCCAGCATGTGAGACATCGTGGGCTCTGTTTTGTTTGGAAAAAAAAAAAAAAGGCAATGAAACCACAAACACTGTGGAAGTCTCACAGCCCCATCTGTTAGTGTCATTTCTGCCTGTTGCAGTTCCTATGATTGCCTGCGTGACGACCCCTTCGAACACGACTGGCCGTCCCTCCCTCAGCTGCCAGGAATTCACTACTCCATGAACGAGCAGTGCCGCTTCGATTTCGGGCTGGGCTACATGATGTGCACAGCTGTGAGTACTGAACTTGGGCTTCTGCTCTTCCGCATCCAGCAGTGGCCTAAGTGTCTCTGAAAGGTCCTTAATCATAGAATCCTTTAGGTTGGAAGGGACCTTCAAGATCATCAAGTCCAACCATTGAGCCATTAGGGCTCTAACGTCCTCTGCTAAAACAGATCAGAATCTGTCAGGGTTGGAAGGGACCACAAGGGTCACCCAGTTCCAACCCCTCTGCCATGAGCAGGGACACCTCCCACTAGATCAGGCGGCCCAGAGCCTCATCCAGCCTGGCCTTAAAGACCCCCAGGGATGGGGCCTCAACCCCCTCCCTGGGCAACCCATTCCAGGGTCTCACCGCTCTCATGGTGAAGAACTTCTTCCTCACATCCAGCCTGAATCTGCCCACTTCCAGCTTTGCCGCATTCCCCCTAGTTTTGTCGTTACTCAATATCCTAAAAAGTCTCTCCCCAGCTTTCTTGTAGGCCCCCCTAAGATCCTGGAAGGCCACAATAAGGTCACCTCGGAGCCTTCTCTTCTCCAGACTGAACAGTCCCAACTCTCTCAGTCTGTCCTCACAGCAGAGCTGCTCCAGCCCTCGGATCATTCTGGTGGCCCTTCTCTGGACACGCTCCAGCAGGTCCACGTCCCTCTTGTGATAGGGACAGTGTAGTGAAGCCCATAGGGAAAGGTGTGGCCACTTAGCTGTAAGCAGAGAAGAACAACTGAATGTGGACAAAGGTGTTATTTTGAGTATCTCTGTCCTTTTTTTTTTACTAAACTGAAGTTACAGAAATAATTATTCTCTAAGTTCATCAATAGCCGTAGACTTCACGGAAACAAGCTTGCTGCACTATTGAGCCTCCTATTGCTGGCAGCTAGTTATTTTCCTAGCCAGATATGAAGGAGCTGGATTTGGTGGCACATCTTGTAGTGCTAACACGGGGCACTATGCTTTTATGATCCAATTTTACGGAAAGCTTGATGCATTTTGATGCCTAGCATAAGAAAATAAGCATGACAGCAAGTAGAGCAACTTGCAAGGACTCTTGATGACATGGTTGGCTATCTTGTACTAGGAAAACAAGAGAGAGTCTAAATTTAAAACAGGGCAAGATTAGTGCAATTCTCAGCAGAGAAAGCAGGGTCTTTTGCAGCAGGGCTGTGCCTCCCACCTCCAGCTCCTTAAGTGGGACAAAATATTAAATGGAAAGAGATGTTTTCAGCTGGTGTGGCAGCTGCTAAGACATAACATTCTTTCATTCCCATCTGCAGGATTATGTGTGCTGAGCAGTGTCTCTAGATAATGGATGAGAACCTTTAAAGCATCAGCTGCAGTGTTGTGTCTTGACACAATTCCTACTGATGCTTCCTTGGAAGAATGTCCCAGCCAAAGAGGGTCTTTTCTTACAGCCATTCTCCAGAGGCTGGGGAGATAGAGGCTTTCTGTTCTTCTCTGTTCAGGACAGCAAAAAGCAAGTCCAGACATCATGTCTTAGTATATTGCCTGATGGGTGGTTCCCCTCCTCTCCTATACAAGCTCTTGCATCGTAGGTAAAATGTTGATTTGTTGCTTGGATCAGGGTCCTAGGCTCAAATTTCCATCCTTCTAGGGAGGTGATTGCAACTCCTTTCCCCCTCCCACGAATACTCAAGGATTTTTTTGGTTCTGTTTGCCAAATGAAGCAGCACCATTTGGGGAAGCTGTAAGAAAAGGCAGTGTGTCCCCTGCTCTGGGGGAACTCATTTCCCCCTTGCCCAGTCTGCCTTTGGTCACTAGTGTAAAATGATTTTTTTCCCAGTTTTATTCCATTGAATGTAGGTGAGATGTCACTTCAGAGTCACTGGTGATTTGGGATGAAAGCTCAGATATGCTCAATCCACAGGCACAGCCACGTTCCTCCAGAATCAGTGAAAACAGCTAGAAAGGAAAACCCCACCCTGCTGCATCTTCTGTGGCAGTTTCCAGGGGGAGCTCTCTAGAGCATCACCACTCTGGTTTTTCTTGTGTTTCAGTTCCGTACGTTCGATCCCTGCAAGCAGCTGTGGTGCAGCCACCCCGAGAACCCCTACTTCTGCAAAACAAAGAAAGGGCCTCCGCTGGACGGGACCATGTGTGCACCAGGCAAGGTGAGAGCGGGTGCCAGGCCTGTTCACGGGGTCTGTGTGCCACTGAGGACTTCCCCTTGAAATCAAGGGGAACGAGAAGAACCTGTCTTACAGACCTGAAGTCTGCTAAGATGTGGGGCAAACTCATGGCTACAAGTAAGGCCGTTGAGCAGTGTGGAGGGAGGGGGCAGGGGCAGGGCTGGTGTGTCCTCTGTGACCATCAAACCCCGTCCTTGGGCAAGTCATGGAAGTATCTGCAGGTTGCCCTGTGCTTCTTGGTGAGTCTTTGTGGCAGAGCCAAAAACGGGAACATTTCCACTCCCTATGACTCCTGCAAGGTCGAGGGGGTTGTGTTTGTACCAGTGATGTTGTAGTGATGCTGCCTGGCCTCCTCATTGCAGGGGGTGCACAGAGCAGTGAGGGCTGGGAGATGACAGCCAAGCCAGGGCTGCTGTGGCTTCCCCAAGGGAAAGGATGGGTGTGGGAGTTGAGTGCCAGCTAGAGAGAGCCAACATGACTGCAGAGAGGGACTGTGAAGAGAGAAGGGCAGATTTGTGGAGGTGGACTTGCTGGTTTGATAAGAGTCAAGGGAGGCATGAGGGACTGTGGAGGGAACGTGAAAGGTGGCAAGATTCAGATAGCTCTGACCCCTCAGCCACCATGCTGGACCTGCTCCAGGTGTCAGTTATCCTTCTGTGGAGGTCACACTTTGCTCATAGTGCATCTGAACTCCAAGTCTTTGAAGTCTGTTGAAAAAGTCTGACTTCCCTGGGCTTTGGATGCAGTGATTGAGGGGGAGAGGAAGATGTCACTACTTGGAAAGATGTTTTGTAAAACCCAATGGATGACATCATTTATTTGATAAATGAACTGTATTAGCAGCTGCTGTTACGGTTTGAAATGTCTTTTTAATGAAAACACACTGTAATGCTAAATTAATTCCCTAGCAAGTCATGCTCTATATAAACCACTCTCTTCTGGTTTTCTCTTTAGATTATTCCTGTTATAACAGCTTTGTTTCTTGTTGCAATAGATTTATTTTTAAACTACAATCAAAAACATTAGACAGTCTCTTTGGATTCACTTTTCTATGTCTTGATTTGTGCATTAAAAATCTTCATGAAACCCCCAGAAAAAAACAGCTACATTCCATTTGGTTGCATCATCCTCTTCCCCAAGCCATTCATTCATATTAGGATTTGAACAGAAATGAGAAGAAAAAAAAGAACTAGTAACCATACAGTTAAGGATCTGTCAGTGCTTCCATTATAAACAGTTTGTCAGGATATTATGCAACTCAGCTGTAAAAATTTTCTCTGGACTGGAACCTGGGATCCAAGGCTTCAGCAAACTGTGCAGACAGCCAGGCTTTTTAGTTCAGTGGAGATGCAAGAGAGTATGTGCACATTCTGAAGTTTCAGTAGATGATAGGACTGTGACTGTTTTATTCCCAGAGGAGCTGTCCCAGTTTTTTGATAAATAAACTTATTGCAACCTTCCAGAGAACCTGACAAACTGATAGAAAATGAGAACCATTTTGTTAGATAAGGATCAAGCAGTCTGAGCTAAACATTTTTTTTTTTTTTAAATAGCAGGAATTATGAAAGTTCTACAACTGACTTTGTAGATCTGAGCTTAGCATTTGACCAGTGTATTTATTAGGTGCTGGTGTTTTTAATACAGGCAGATCAGATCAGCCCTTTTCCATCTGTTCCTTTCCTTTCCATCCCTGCCTTTGATTTGGCCTTCCCTCGATCACTCTCTTCATCAATTTGGACAATACCAGGGACTCTTCCTGGAAGGATGGAGACTGCAAAGTGCCTGCATTGCCCAAAGCTGGTTTCAGTGTGGCAGCCTCCTTTAAGATACATCTCCCATGATACCTCATCAGCTCATGAGGAAGAGGAAAATAACTTCAAACTTGATCCGCGTTTTGTTTTGGAATAACACCAGAAAAGAACAGAACAGAAACATAAGCAATTAAAGATGTTGATTCAAAAAGATCCCACTTTAGAGACTTGCAGTTTTCATGATTTCATACCACTAATTCCCAGGGCCTATTTTAAGCTCAAACCAATCACAACACTGCTGATGTGTCAAAGAAACATCCTGGCTTTGCAGCAGCTGAGGGGACTGAGTGCCAGAAAGGAGAGGTACTCGGGGGACTGACACACGGCGTATGGCACCTAGATGTTCCCACCTAAGCCTGGTGTTCACATAGCTGGTAACTGGTCTCTTCACTTTCCCAGACTTAACAGATGCTATTGGGGAGAATCCAATCCAGCTGCCTCCTCCTTAACTGGGGCGAGACATGAGACCTGTAGGACATTTTCAGCAAGCACCCTGACAAGGGCTGTGTCTCTGCACACCCCAGCTGCGCTTTAGACCCTTAGATATGGAAGAAGGAAGATTAGACTCTCTAAAGTTGTCTGTATATGTGTATTTATGCATACATGTAGATGTCTATTTGCGTAAATATATGTAGATGTACGTAATCTATTCTGTGCATGTGATTATTTGAAATAAGTTGCCAAAAGAGCGAGGTTCTGCCATTTCAAAAACTTTCCACTAAGTCTCCTTGTGCAAACGGAGGCGTTATGTTAACTGGCAGCAAACTAATCATTTGCTGGGCTGAGGGATAAAAAATTAAAATGTTCTCTTGGAGCTTTCCAGCCAGAGAAGACAACTACAATTTTGATAAGAAATATAATATTTTATATTGCTCCCGGCCTGCTTTTTATAAACTAGGTTGGGTTTTCAATATCGAGAGGGAAGAGTCTGGCAATTTTGTGAAGCTTTGATGATGCAGCAACTTGTAATTACTTCTTGTCTGAATGGTCACATTAACTTCCATGAACTGACTCCGGTGTGTGAAGTTAACACATGGAGGGTCAGAGTCTTCATGTGAAGTCAAAGGCACTTCATAAATTGCCAGAGTAAACCATGCAGATGAGGCACAACTGTGCAGAGCTTAACTCTGCAGAGCAGTCTGTGGATTAAAAGGAAGCATATGCTTTCAGCTGATAATTTACTTACTTGTGTACAATTCTGTCAGCTCTACCATTAGCCTCAGGCTTCTGAAGCCAGGCAACCTTCAGAAATAGATCATCAGTTTTTGTTATTCCATATTTTTTAAACTATTACTCTTCTGGGGAGGCTTTTATAGCAGCTGAAGTAGCTAACTGCTCTCCACAGGGCAGAAATAAAACCCAAAGTCATTCATGCAAGGAGATTGCATGCCTGAGTCCATCTGCTTGCTGCAGTGACTAACACAAAGGTTGCACCACCTGAGTCTCCTTTGGTTCTTTTCCTGGAGAGAGGTAAGAGCCTGGGACCTGCCCCTGCCAGCCAAGCTGGTGTTGCTCTTGGATTTGGCTGATGTGCCAAGGATCCAGCACAAACCTAGCAGGTCTTCTCTTTGCTTGCACCATGCTAATGAGGTGACCCGAGTCAAACATGGAATGATTTTTAAGTCTGTCAGGAAACGAATAAATAAATAAATACTGAACTAAATAGATATTATTGAGAAGAAAAATGGACTGAGGAAAAAGATTTCTGAAAACACTAATGTGTGCTCAAAGCAATCCAGATAATTTCCCACTGAGAAAGCTGACCTCAGCTTCTCTCAGAGACAGGAGACAGATGGATGAGTGTATGCTGTGTTAGTCACCACAGAAACAGTGGGAATACTTGATTCTCCACTGAAGAAACTTTCACTGGCTCTGGGTAGACTTTAGCATTAGAGCTTTCAGTTTATCCCTTGCAACTAATTATTCTCAAACAGATGGAGCAGAGCTGGCCAGCCTGCATGTGATAGGAAATACAAATGAGTAAGTAACCCTCTCCTGATACAACCTCGGGAGAGGGTGAGAGCTAGGGACCACCAGCCATGATGCAGCACAAGGGCTTGCCTGGGTAGATAACTGGGGTGTCAAGTGAGGGCATGGGAGAGTTGCCAGTGGCTGCCCAATATAGAATAAGTAGAGAAACCCACAGCAGATCTGCAAGTCTTTTCTTGAAAGATTAAGTTGGAGATGTGTTAAGCCCACAGGAACACACTGGCTCTTTTTTTGGCGTCCACAGCAGTTGTTTCAAAGAACTGCTGAAAACAGCAGTGGAATGTTTTACTGCAAAAGATTTAAGCTTCCTCTCCTGGAAATTGCACTTGTTTTGGACTGTCCTGTTTGCCAGAAAAATAGGCGAGACTGCAAGAAGTCATCTTGTCTTCCACTAAGAAAACAGTTTGCATTTTCCCTTTTTTTTTGCCTCGTTTAAAAAAAAAAATAAATATTGCTTTAATATGCTTCACTTGTTAAATGAAACTTCCTGTTTGTGAAAGGAATAGTGGTTGAAATTGGCTCTTTTCCACCTCATTATGTAGTTAATGTAGTAGCAATAGGAAGGGTTGGCTCTAGCTTCCTTTATTACACTGGCAATCGCTCCATCTCTGGTTTTACCTTCTCACATGTTTTCTTGCATAGGTCTGCACAGAGTAAGACTTGATTGTGAGTAATTTTGTTTTATGTAGGCTCCTTTCTTTTAATCCACAAACAAAAAGGCAGAGCTGGGGATGACTCATTTTACACAGATGCTTGTCTCCTAATAGCTCTGCCTCAGCTTCCTGACAATCGGCGTGTAACTGGCTTCTCCAGTAAAAATGAGTGCTGCTCTTTCCTTTAGGCAGCAAAGTCAATGACACTTTTCCATGTTTGCCTTCCAGTTCAGGGACCAGTCACAATGTCAGATAGGTGGTTTATTAGTGGTTGTTGCAAACCCAAATCCCCCTGTTCCTGGCTAACACAGGGACTGGAAAACACATCGTGTGTCTCTCCCTCTTCTCTGCAGAGTCCAAGTGCTGGACCTTGCATTATCACTTCATGAACATACACTATATGGCTCTTGCAATGAATTTGGTGGTTGCTGTGGAACTTACACTGAGGGATGCAGGACCCTGATAAGAGAATGTTTAAGCAAGAACACATCAGGAGCTGTCACATCTCATCTGCTTCCAAGCCCAGCTGAAATGTGTATTGACAAGCTGACGCATTGCCAGCTTCCCCTGCATCTCTGAATGGTCCCATTGCTGCACAGGGCCCGACAACTCAGACTTTTCATTCAAACCAACCTCTCTGAAGCCAGAAGTAAACACTCCCTGTAGGGCACAGCGCTGAGCTTCAAAACCAGAGAAAGCAAAGGACATATTAACATTTTGCATTTCTTTCATGCTTTGCTGAATTATCTCTTGTTCTGTCAAACAGCTAAGAAAAATCTGCCTATTACAGCTCTGGAGCAGGATTGGTATAATTGGCTTTGTGGTAACTCATCTATTTCATAGGTTTTGACATTGCATATTTGAAGTCAGAAGGACGAACCTAATTTCTACTCTTTTCTGCTCCCTGTCCAACTAAATGAGCACCAAAATAAACTACACGAATAGAGCACCAGCCGTTGAGCAGATTAGCGAATCAGTAAACTGCCTTGTCACCATTTTACTAATGATTTTCTCTTTAAATTCAGCTTTATTAATGGTTATCCATCACTTTTAAACTCTCCTTCCAGATCACTAATTGCTCTATGCTTAAGAACGCTCTCCTGTTATAGATCTTCTGATTTTGTTTTTGCTGGCAGCATGCATTTAGCCATATGCTCGCCTTGTGCCGCCTGCCAAATTCCTGCGTTCCAGGGCTTGTTAAGCTGTGTAAAATGTTGTTGTTGACTTGAATGTTAAGGAAAGTAAGTGACTGATTGCACTTGTTGTTGCAGCCATCTGTGTGCCTGAGCCAGAGCTCCTATCCCAACAGTCACCGTTAACGCAGACAAACTGCGACGCTCTGAAGCGGAGTCATTTGTTGGGCTGGAAATATTTTCCAGCACCCACACTTCATCAGTAGACTTTTATGAAAGCAGAAATAGTACTACAAAAGGGCCAGAAACTGTGATCTTTGAGGAGAATTCATACTGACTTCAGCTAAGAAAAAATTCTTTGATTAAGGACTGAAGAAGAGGGTGGAAAGGCGTTGGTGGGTTTCTTTAATGGGAGGAGACAGTTGAAAGTATCAGTACTGAAGGCATGAAAGCTCTTAAAGAAATGTGGAAATGTCTGATAGGTTTGAGGAATATAGCAAATTATGTTTAGAATGACTGCATTAAAAATCAGGTAAAAGAAAAGAGAAAGCCTGGTAGGGCCTGATTAATTGTGCAGAGGTGGGACTGTCCACGGCTGCTCCCCACTGAATGCTTCCTGATGTTTTAGTCAGGTTTGCTATGAGATCTCCAGGGCTCTTATAGTAAACTAGTAAACTCTACTATGAGTTCTGCTAAACATAGTAAACTGTACTATGAGATCAGCAGGAGTTCTTGATTTAATGGCACTAACGTCTGAAATGTGAGCTGACTTTTAATTCCTCTCCACTTTGCTCATCACGTTTGTTGCAGGACTGTAGGCTGGGTTAGGAGCTGCTGGGAAGGATGGTGCTGCAGCAGGAGCTCTCTCCATTCCTGCCTGAAGAGGCTGCCTGCGGTGGCAGAGGCAAGGTTTTACTTTTTGCCTCCAAGATTTGGAATTCTGCCATTTCCCTCTAATGAACCTGTATTAGTTTTGTTGAAATGACCACTGCAGACGTGATGAAGGAATGCAATGCTGAGAGCAGTTTAATGAACCTGGCAGGCTTGAATTCTGGAAGCATGTATCTGCATTATTAACATGTGCAAGTTCATAGAATCTGAGTGAGTTTAGGATCATGGGCACGATCTGACAGTCTCACAGTCTCTCCTTTCTGCTGGAAAGGTGAAGAAAACAATCTGGAATTTGTGCCTAAAATGAAATCTGTTTTACCACAGCTTCTCACATGATATAATTTAATAATCTGATGGGTTTGACATCTAATTTTCTCTTCTAGCATTGCTTTAAAGGTCACTGCATCTGGCTAACACCAGACATCCTGAAGCAGGATGGACACTGGGGGGCCTGGAGTAAGTTTGGCTCTTGTTCTCGGACCTGTGGCACGGGGGTGAAGTACAGGACAAGGCAGTGTGACAACCCACAGTAAGTCTGCATAAACCCACAGGGGTTTCTGATACGGAGCAAATGAGTGGTGAGAATCCTTCCTAAGTGACTAGTGCAGTAACACAGTAAAGGGTCTTGGGTGGTGCTTGTTGAATCTCACCTATAGTACATGTTGACAGTAATTCTACTTTTAGCCCTTAGCAAGTCATGAATCATCTTTATTTCTCAGTTTAACCATCCATTAAGTTGGTTATACAGTTACAAGGATCTGGAAAATACTATTAAGCTATTGTATAAAGCATAAATGAAAGTTTAGTGCCCTATACATGTCTTGTATATATGGGAGTTTGAAATAATGGCAATCATTTGCTGAATTTTTTTTTAAAAATGCATATACCCTTTTAAAATTTTTGTTTAAAGCACCTTTTAGGATGTTTCAACAAGAAGGTCTTAAAATATTTTCAGACTGTTTCCATTCGAAATTGGAACAAAGCTCCAGAGATCAGAACCTACCCTGAAGTTAATTTTTATAATATTGAATTGTTTTGCTTCAATAACTTATATATGTGCTCATCTAGATCATGTAGAATGACTTAACTTCAGCACCACTGAAATATAGTGTATTTCATATAGACTGGAATGTACAAATTACATGAAATGTATAATTATTGCTATCTTATTGCAATACCATAAAATGTCAAGATCCTAACAGCAAGAACTGAAATGTTGGAATGAAATTATTTTACTGGATAGAATGTTTTTAACATTTATTCTCTCAGCTTGTGCTGATGCAGTGATTGAACTTAACTAGTGTTAAAAGGCATCTTATCATTGATTAAAAAAAGCCAGATTTTAGGAAGGCAGCATTTTCTGATGGAGATTGTTCTCTTAAGAAAAAATATACCAGTTCTAATTTCAGCCTTTATTACACTGGCAACATGAAAGTGACCTTTATGATTATGGGCAGAGTTATAGTTGTAAAATCTATTTTCCTGTAGGAAAAGGCTAGCATACTGCTGGAAGTGCTTTCTGTGTTCCTGGAAGGGGGTGCAAGCCCAGCTCCCTTCTGCCAGATCCAACGGTGACCCGGCGCGATGCGCCTGCCGGGGGGACGCAGCTCTGGGCTGGGCTCCGTGTCTGGATCTGCTGCTGGCTTAGGGAGTGAATGTGCATGAGTCACTTCATCTGTGTGTGCTCTCCCTTCCTGGGCCACACCAAGAAAATGGCTTTTCTTGCCTTTATCAAGCAGTTTGAGGCTCTACTTGCAGAAATTGCTTTTTAAAAGCTAAAGAGCGGCAACATTTTTTTAAAGGAAAGACATACTTTCCATATCAGAAATGCATCACTGGCTTCATCAAGTGCCCACTGACATGACTTGGAATTAAATTACTCCTCAAAGGAGCTGATAGATGCTTGATTCATGCATTAATAGCAAAACTAACCAGTGGGTTTCTCTCCCCACTGCAGTCCTGCCAATGGAGGCCGCACGTGCGTGGGGCCGAGCTACGAGTTCCAGCTGTGCAACACTCAGGACTGTCCGAAGGACTTCGAAGATTTCAGAGAGGAGCAGTGCAGGCAGTGGGATCCTTACTTTGAGTATCAGAACATGAAACACCACTGGCTCCCCTATGAGCATGTCGATGGTGAGTGGTCCCTTTTTCCTCTGAGAAGTAAAAATCACTTGTGGATGTAAGGAGGATATAAAACTCCTCCGAGGGAAATCATGCCTCACAAATCTGTTATGAGTTGTTTGGAGGGATCTGTGAGTACCAGTATGTGAGTGATCCAGTTCATATAATGGGCTTGTAATTCATGTAATGGATTTCCAAAAAGCTTTGGGCCCTGCTCCCCTAAAACTGCTCTTAAACTCAGTTATCAGGTTTGTGTTCCACAAGGATGGGTGCTGGGAGCATGGGTGCTGCTGAGCACACATGGCAGTGAGCTGGGAAAGGGAGCAAACAAGGCAACAAAATCTGCTCTGCATACAAAATTAGTCAGGCTAATTAAAATAAGAAGGCCCACAGTGAGAGCTGCAGAAGGACCTTGTGACACTAAGTGACTGAACGGGGCAAACAAAGTTTGGTGTTGATAAATGCCAATAATGGGTACAGGGATCAAAAATGGCAAGTGTGCATGAGTCTGTACACAAGGTGGGCTCTGAAGAGAAAGGTGTAGGAGCTGGGGATAGCTTAGGAAAACTTCAGGTCAGGGAGGGATGGAGGACACTGCTCTGCCTCTGTGCCCCTGCATGATGTGTCTGCATTCTAAATACTCCACCAAGGTAGCTCAGGTTGTGCCCATCTCACTGCTGCCCTCATTGCTAGAAATCCCACAGTTGAACTCAGAAGGGCCTGAATAAAGCAAAGATAAGCAGTAACTCCTGATTGAGGAGAGCTTATATAAACTAGGACTTTTCACCCTGAAAAAGTGTTGATTTAGATTTAAAAAACAGAGTTACAGAATTGTGAGGGGTGTGAAGAGACTGAACATTGAATCATTATTCAGTTTCTCATAACACAAGCCTGGGAACACAAAATCAAATTATCAGGTGGCAGATTTTAAACAAATAAGGGGAAGTACTTCTCCACACAGAGTATAATTTACTGGAATTTGTTGCCACAGGAAGTTGCAGATGCCAGAAAGTTTTAAAAATTATTTGGAGAAATTATTGAAAGTTGTATAATCTATTAAGAGCTATTAAACCCTAAGTTCCTGCCACGACTTAGGAAGTCCCCAAGCTGCAGTTTACAAGAAACTTGGAGAATATTCTGAGAAAAGTTCAGATTTGTTCTTACATCTTCCTCCAAACTCTGCTGGCACTGTCGGAGGCAGGTGTGGGGTTGGGCGGGTGCCGGGTCTCAACCAGCACGGTCAGGCTGATGTTCTGGCATCTCGGCAGAGATCTCCTCTTGGAACAAAAGTGTTCATTTTCCTGTTAATTCCTCTGCTTAGCTGTCAATGAAAGTGCAGCTGGTTGATTTGGGCCATGAAGGTTGTTGCCAGGCTATTGCCACATGGCGTTGAAAACATGCCGAGAAGAGGTTTTACCAAAGAAGGTGGTAGAGGGCAACAATTCTCAGCTTGTTTGATGAGCAGGGACAGCTGCTTGCTATTAGCAAACCTGATCACTTCATTTGAATGATGAGTCCTTCAGGACAGGGTTGACCTGGCAAGGGGTAGGTACCAGGCACCCATCTCTGGGAGGGAAAGGGTCACTTTGGGTGAATCATTTTGCATTCCAGCGAGAGGATATTCTGCCAGAAGTTAATAGCAAGTTCCTCATAATTGATTTGCCTGACTTTCTTCCCGAAGAGTTCTCAGGGTTTCCTCCTTTTCATGGCATCTTGTGCAATCTGGGACTTTCGGAGGCACAGCCGCAGCCTCACAGCTTAACTTCATTAAAAGGCTTTGCTGGCACAGGCAGAAGGGTTGAGCGCTGTGGCCCACAGGACCTGCACTTCTGCTTTAGCCTTTGGAGCAGTCTATTGCAAAGACCACTGTAACTAATCAGATGTTTTTCTGTTAGATTCAATGGCATCTAGGTCAGAAACCAGCTCACTTATGTCTGAGCACTGATCACTGGTCACCGCTGGTTTCCTGTATAACTGTGGTGTAACTGCAGCCACCTTCACAGTTACATTTACCTGTGCTGGGTTATTAAAGGGAACAGCTTTTGTGTGGAAACAAGGCCAGAGGGTGGCTTATGCTTGAACTTTAATAAGTTTAAAACTCCCTTTTGTAAAGTAAGGCATATCAGTGGCATACTTTGTGCAGATAATGCAGTCATGGCTCAAAAGCGACATAAATCCATGCGCTTCACACACCGCTCAGCTGGACGTGTCTGGCACATTGTGTACGTGCTGGGGAGGGGGAGAAGCATCTCATCCCATGACCAGAGAAAAGCTGCTGAGCTGGGGTGCACCCCAATGTGTGCCTGAGCACCCCAGTGGCATGTCGTGGCCTGTGTCCTGCTCTGAGCCCCCCGAGCACCCCATCTCCCAGCCCGGCTGGGCTCACATACCCTGTGTCGTGCATCTGCCAGGGCAACGTGGGGTGACATTGGTGATTAGCTCCCAGCCTCAATTAAATGAGAAGGAACGGCATGGGGAGCAGGGAATGGACAGGCATGTGGTCACGTCCATGCTCCTGCACCTCTGCTATGCCCAACACCAGTGAATAGAAAGAAAATAATTCTTTGCAATTAACAGGGTCCAATTTAACGGCACTTGCACATTTGCTGTTCCCATGGAGCAGTGGGGAAAGAACCCTCTCTGTAAAATAAAGCCCTTGTACAGGGTTGTTGGCACCCAGTCAGACCTTCTGATATTTCCATTTAATCACGTACAGTGAATGTATGGTATGTGTGGGGTGGGGGAGTACATGCACAGAGCGGGTGTGTGTACACATCCTGTGCATTGTTTAATGTCTCTAATATAGGCAAATACATGAGGTCTGTGATCACTTTGATCTTAACAGTCCCCCATGAAGAATCTGCACAAGAAAAGTAAAGTACCTGTTACAGCAGCCTAGACCCTACATTTTTAGCGTGACATCTCCTCATTGTTCAGGAGCAGTCACCAAGGTCTCTGATGTACCAATACCCAGCAGCCATGAGGTCATCAACAGCAATAACAAGGACTTTATTAAGAGAGGGTAGAGGCCGTGGAAGTGTGCGGGGGAAGAACGCAAAGGGCCTGTGAAGATTTATTTTAATTGAGCTGCTATAACAGAAAGGTCATTATAGTTTCAAATGATGGGAAAAGTGCCCCAACTTTTAATCATGTTAAAATAGCAGAATCTTTATTTGTTTCACCTAACAGAAAGTCCATCTGCTCTTCACTGCCAAGGAAAGCATAATGTGTCCTGTTATGGGGCTGGGGATGGCGAGAGATAGGAGTAGAATGAAATACAGTGGTGGAAAACAGCTTTATTCACCCACTGACTAGTCATTTCAGCTTTATTTTTTGTTTTTAGCTCTTTGAAACAGATTAGGAGAAAGAGGTATGCTTGCCTGGCTGTTGGTGCATGTGTTAGCAGTAAAGAAAGGGGTTTTTTTTTCTGAATTTCTTTGACATCTCATCTTTTTTAATGATTTAAGCTATCAAAAATACAAGTACAAGAAGAAAGAATTAACTTCATGTTTAGGTATGGTCCAGCTGTCTCTAAAGACATTTTGGATGCCAGATTAACTCAGGGTCAAACAGCTGCTTTTAATGGCAAAGTGACTTTTGCCTTTTTTCAGATTTAAGTGCAGTGCAAGAGAAACTGATGCAGAAACCTGCATGTCTCACAGGCAGCAGCTTGTGGAAACCTCTGCCAGGTTGCATCACCTGATAAAGGATTAAGTAGAGGCTTGCCCATCAAAGTAAACGATCTGTTATTGTTAAGA